CAGTCTGAGATGACAAACGCACAAGAGTTGTGATTTAACATGACAACTTCGAATCAAATTTTCAAATGATGACTGAAACCATCAATCTGCAGGACACCAGCTCTCCCCCACTTCACTGCATTTTATTTTCACATTAAAAAACATTTGTGCCAAGTTCTGGTGTATTTTTTTTTTAATGTATCTCTTTTTTCGCCTCTTTTGGGGAAAAAGACTTAGTCTGGAGCTCTACTTACTGCTATTTCTCTCAAGAAAAATATAAGTCTTTGCACATTTACTTACCTTATATAAAAATCCTGAGTGTTAACACTGTCCTTTGGAGAAATTCATATCAGTACAGCCGTTGGGAAAATGCAAATTTGCAATGAGCTGAACAATGATATGAAGCAGCTGCCCAGGATATAAAGGGTCAGAGGGTGTCACTGAACATAAATAATATCTAGAAAAGTGAGGAGCAGGGAAGGTAGCTGGAAGGATGAGTCTAACTAATTAAAATGTTATTGCTCAAGCAAAAGTAGAAGCTAGCATGAGAAAATATGGAAGAGAAAAATTCAAGAGACATTTACAACAGAGAGTAGAGAAAAAAAAATAAGGATTCTAGGTGGTTCTAGTAAAAGGTCATCTGACTGCTAATACCACTAGGCACAGCTACAGTGTCTTTCCTCTGATGATTCTTCTACCCAGGGTCAAACTGGCTGCAACAGGCAGTCATGGTCTAATTGTCTGGCATAAAGTGAAACCAGGACCACCTTTCTTCAAGACAAAAATTCTGTATTTCTGCCAATGTGCACTACAAACAGTGTTACCTGACCTTTTGAAAACAAATAAATACATTTCAGAAATGTTAAAGTTGTTAAAGAGGGAATTCCTTATACCCTAGGATAGCTAAATCATACAAGCCATGGGTATTCCTGAATTCTCCTGCCTGCAGCTCAATGTCCTTAGTTATTACACTGGTCACAATGCAAATTACATCCTCCACTTCACATGCTGGTCCATGTGTGAATACAGACACCAACCTCCCAACCCCCCAACTCCAATCATTCAGAAAGGAACTCACACATTCATATATATACACACACACACACCAAATATTCTTAATGACTAGGGTTTTATTTTTTAAGTTAAAATGTTAAAAAAAAAGTAACAAATATCTAGAGATAATTTGAATTTAAACTTGCATTTATATCTCAAATATTTTTCAAATATTGTTATAGCATGTACTATGTCCCAGGTTTTCCTCCAAGCACTTAACAAATATTAATTTGACCTTACATCATCTGCATGAATATAGACTAATATCACCCTTGTACAGATGGGAGTTGGTGATGGACAGGGAGGCCTGGCGTACTGCAGTCCATGGGGTCGAAAAGGGTCGAACACAACTGAGCAACTGAACTGAACTGAACTAAAGAGATGGAGAAACCAAGATACAAGAGATTGCACAGAAATATGCCCAGGGTCAACTAGCTGATAAAAGATAGACTTTGGATTCCGAACAGATTATCTGAATTCAGAGTCTATGAGCTCTCACTGTGACTCCCCAATCTTTACTTTATCCACCTAACTCCCATCTGAAGGTATATGACATGGTAGAGGCCATCATTACCTCAGTCTGTTGGCAATACATGAAGACTTTCAGACTCCTTGAAATTCAGGCAAAGAGACAGAGACAGGAACAGAGACAGAGAAAAGTATTTTAAATCCCCTCTCCTACAGTCAAGAAATGCTACTAAGTTTTAATCACCTGTCTGTAAACTAGACACAGGTCATATCCTTCACAAAAATTAACTCAAATTAGATTACTGACCTAAACAAAAAATATAAAACTATAAACTTTCTGGTATACAGTAAGGGAGAATATCTGTGTGATACAATACCAAAAGTGCCATATGTGGAAGAAAAACTGGTAACTTGGACTTTAAACTATTGCTCTGAAACGGCACTTAATGGATGAGAAAGACACACCACGGATTTGGAGAAAATATTTGAAAAATAAATATCTGATAAAAGATTTGTATGCAAATCATAGAAACAACTCTTAAAAACTATATAATAAAACTAACACAATCAAAAACTTGGCAAAAGATCTGACTAGACAACTAGACTCCTTGTCAAAGAAGATGTTTGGGTGGCAAATAAACATATGAAAGATGCTCAAGATCTTATCATTAGAGAGTTATAAATTAAAACAAAAATTAAATATCACTTAAAACATTTTAAAAATTTAAAAATTTTGTGTGTGTGGAGGGGTAGCAACATAAATTGCTGACCAGGATGCAGAACAATAAGAACTCTCACTCACTGCTGATGAGAATGCAGAATGGTACAGTCAATTTGGAAGATAATTTGGCTATTTCTTTCAAAGCTAAGTACAATTTTACCATACACTCCAGCAATCATACTCTGAGGTGCTTATTAAACTGACTGAAAATAAGTGCACACAAAACTTTCACATGAAAATTATAGTAGCTTTATTCATAACCACCCAAATTAGAAGCATTCATGATAGGCTTCAATAAGTGAATGGCTAAAAAGACTGTCGCATGTACATACGACATAACATTATTCAGCCACAAAATGATATAAGCTAATCAAGCCACAAAACAACACAGAAAGTGAAAACAAAGTCACTTAGCTGTGTCTGACTCTTTGCAACCCCATGGACTATAGCTGACCAGGCTTCTCCGTCCATGAGATTTTTCCAGGCAAGAATACTAGAGTGGGTTGCCATTTCCTTCTCCAGGGGATCTTCCCAACCCAGGGATCAAACCTGGGTCTCTCACATTGTAGGCACATGCTTTACCGCCTGAGCCACCAGGAAGTCACAAAACAACACAGATGGACCTTAAATGCACATTGGTGAAATGCAAGAAGCCAATCCAAAAAGGTTGCATATGATATGACTCCAAATTACTTAACATTCCTTTAAATGCAAAAAAACTATAAAGATGGTAGAAAAAGAAAAAGAGAGTGGTCATTGCCAAGTGTTGGGTAAGGGAAAATTTAATGGGTAGAGTACAGTGACATACTGTTAAAGTTTTATCTATGATACTGGATGTGGAATACGGGACAGTACACATTTATCTGTGTACTAGCCTCGCCTATACTTATAATAACGTAGACAGCATAGTAAAAAGCAGAGACATTACTTTGCCAACAAAGGTCTGTCTAGTCAAAGCTGTGGTTTTCCATTAGTTAGGTATGGATGTGAAAGTTGGACTATAAAGAAAGCTGAGCACCAAAGAATTGATGCTTTTGAACTGTGGTGTTGGAGAAGACTCTTGTGAGTCCCTTGGACAGCAAGGAGATCCAACCAGTCCATCCTAAAGGAAATCAGTCCTGAATATTCATTGGAAGGATTTATGCTGAAGCTGAAACTCCAATACTTTGGCCACCTGATATGAAGAACTGACTCACTAGAAAAGACCCTGATTCTGGGAAAGATTGAAGGCAGGAGGAGAAGGGGACGACAGAGGATGAGATGGTTGGATGGCAACACCGACTCAATGGACATGAGTTTGAGTAGGCTCCAGGAGTTGGTGATGGACAGGGAAGCCTGGGGTGCTGCAGTCCATGGGGTCGCAAAGAGTTGGACATGACTGAGCAACTGAACTGAACTGAATACATTTATTTAAACACTTAGAACTTTGTGACACAAAGAACAAACCCTAAAACATGCAAATTAAAAAAAAAAATCTAAACAGAGTTTTTTTCAGGAAAGAAGGCAGAATTTGACAAAGCCATTTACATTTATTGCAATACATGAAACATCCCAACTAAAGAGAGTAAAGAAAAACATTGCTATCCTGAACAAGGTTGACAATGAATGAAATTTGTAAGACTAAAGGCAAGAAACTATACATAGGTACAGTACTCTAGTGGACAAAGTTCTTTCTGTTGGGGGTTTAGGCTAACAATCCCAGTAACACTATACATATATACTGACAGTGAAAAATAAATCAGTAAATGGATGGTATCAACACATGGTACAAGTAAAGTTTCTCATTGTTGAGAGCTGATTGTTACAGATAAACAAAGGAGGAGGCTACAGTGACTCATGGAACAGATCAGTTTAACATAGATGAATACCGCTACACACTGAAATATTTACAGATAACTGCACACATACAGGCTATTATGTTTACATATAGTTCACTGTACTTTCAGCTGAGAGAGCCTAACAGCAATGATATTAGAACACTAATATGCATACTTAACACCCAGATGTTGGTTTCCATTTATTCTTCAATAAATGGAATAGGAGTTTTCAGAAAAATAGCTTGCTGAAGGACTGGGGAAAGAAACATACAAGAAGAGTCTGCAGTATCTTGCATTCTCCAAAAGTGTGGAATGTTTCATAAGGGAAAAAACAAACAAATACTCACAATAGTGGTAGCAGAGCAAAGTGACACTGGGGACAGCTGAAACAGCTCCAAAGGCCAAAGTGTGAACAACTGAAGCAATACTGTATTAAAACTTAAAATATAAAATAGCTATGCATGTTTCCATACTGATAAAAATAGATGAGTCTTTAAACAAATGAGGGAAAATGAACAAATCTCCCATACAGAAGACCTCCAAATAATTTATCTGAATACTACTCCTTAAAGGAGGTGAAAACAACTTGCTACTCCATAAATGTTGGCTATTTATACTTTTAGTGAATTCCTTCTAAAGATAACAGTATGGTAAAGAGGGGGAAAAAATGAAAACATGCTAAACTTGACAAACAGTACTTCATCCAGGTTAATTTCAACATTGGTAAGTAATGTTGATAATATAACCTTGACACATTGTGAAGAAAATTATATTTTACCTCTGTGGTCCTCCTCCCTCAAACACATAATCCCAGTATAAACATGAGGTAAGTATATGACAAATACATATTGAGGGACTTTCTACAAAATAGCTGACCAGTTCTCAAAACTGTAAAGATCATCAAAAACAAGGAAAGCTTGTAAAACTGTCACAGCTAACAGTAGCCTTAATGTGTGAGTCACTCAGTTGTGTCTGACTCTTCGAGACCCCATGGACTGTAGCCCGCCAGGCTCCTCTGTCCGGGAAATTCTCCAGGCAAGAATACTGGAGTGGGTTGCCATTTCCTTCTCAAGAGGATCTTTGAAACAACAAATACAAGCATTGTGTTTTACTGGATGAGGTTCTGAAACAACAAAATGAATACAAATAAAAGCTAAGAGAATCTGAATGCAGTATGGAATTTAGATAATAATATATAATATCTGTTTATTAGTTTTACTAATGCACCAAATTGTTGCAAAATGTTAATAACAGGGAAAACTAGGGGTACTGTATATGAGAATTCCTCATACTATTCCCTGGATTTTTCTATAAATTTAAATCTTTTCTGAAAAGTTTATTTTAAAATATTATGTTGATATGGAGAAGGAAAAAATAATGAGTAGAGGATGGAGTATGAAGAGGAATCAGACTATTCCTGAGTTTGTGGCTCTGGATGTAGTTGGACATGTCCAAATATTGCTATTTAACAGTGATATTTATTTTGTGGTTACTATTTTGATGTGGAATACTTTTGCCAGAATCCATGACTAAGTATTAAATCAACAGTTATCCATTGGAAAGAAAATAATGAAGCATGACAGTTGTGAACTCATGGAAAACTAGAAGATGCCAGCCTATCTTACAAGGACCACCACTACCCATCCTTAATCTCCCAAACAGAAAAACACAAATCAATGTTGGTACTTATTTACATTCATGAAAGTGAAAGTTGTTCAGTTGTGTCTGAACATGAGGTTTGCAACCCCATGGATATACAGTCCATGGAATTCTCTAGGCCAGAATACCAGGGTGGGTAGCCTTTCCCTGCTCCAGGGGATCTTCCCAACACAGGGATCAAACCCAGGTCTCCCACACTGCAGGCAGATTCTTTACGAGCTGAGCTGCAAGGGAAGCCTATTTACGTTCATAAATACACAAATATATTTATAAGGTTTAGTCAAAGGTAATACTTGTAACTTGTTTTTTGTTTCTTTTCCAATTTAGTAAAGTGGCATAATATATTGCATTGCAATTTTTAAGGGACAAACTTTTGTTTGGAAATTGGTATGCTGATATAAATAGCTCAATTGGTAAAGAATCCACCTGCACCGGAAGATACCCTGGAGAAGGGATAGGTTGCTCACTCAGGTATTCTGGTCTGGGGAATTCCATGGACGATACAGTCCATGGGGTTGCAAAGAGTCGGACACGAATGAGAGAATGTCACTTTCACTGACATGCTGATATGACATGAAAGGTCATATATGTGAAAATTATCTTTCAAAACTCTCTATTAGCAAAAGCTTTTCAAAATTAAAACTGACTTTCATTTTTATTTTAGTGTTCAGAACAAATATCTAAAGCTATTTTGCTCTTAAAAGTCATATATGGAGAAACCAAATTACTCCTGGATTCAGAAATCTAATTAAACTTGCACTAGTCCAAACAGAAATCAAGTCAAGACATATTTCAGTGCAATGTACTTTGAACAGAGAGGTGCAAGTTTAAGTGAATAAAGACTAATTCTTTAAAACAAACCTTTTAAAAACATTTCAGGTATACAAACATTTTAATCTCACGATTATTAACCTGTACATCAATCAAAATATATCATTTAAAATAATGATCATTATTTTATAAAAAAGCAGAAAATTTGAACTTTTCCCAAGTTTACCTTGAGGTCAGCTTTATCACTGTATGGGAAGAGTAATCTTAAGACTACTTTTCCCACAGAGTGGCAACAGATATTTCCAGACTGATAACATACTTAGTGCTTGTAATCTCAGAATTAGCGTCTCTTTCTTTATAGTTCCTACAAAATTGTGAGCAAGGTTCTCCCACTTTTGTCCACATGTTCAAGTGATAAAGGACAATTACTACCAAGTGAATGATGTGTTCTAACTGAATAGACCTGAAAGTGATTTATCAGGACAGTACCAGAAAGTTACCTTATCAAAATCAGTATTCTATTGTTTGAGTTACTGCAACAATTTACTTTTTATTTCATAAGAAATCCTATTTCATGGAAAGAATTTTGATTAGGTCCAAACAAGACAGATATTTGCCCCCACTTTTTCCCACTGTCTAACCTTGCTTTCCTCCACTTTTTATCACTTGTATAAATTTTTCTCCAAAATCTAACTCTTCACTTTCTTCCCCAAATTTCTTCAAACCACAGAATAAAAGTGAACCTTTCCTGTGAATTAGGAATACATGTTATTTATGGTATATTATATACAGATGCTCAGAAGATATTTTAAATAAAGGGACTTATTACTGAGAAAAGAAGTAACTGTTGCTCTCATCAGATGTTGAATCAAGGTGCAAAAGTTGCTCATGTGACTATATTTTTATAAAGAATGTTCCTGAGAAATATCTAACTGAAAATCCCTGAAAACTTGGGTAAATATTCATAAGATTAAAAAATCTGGTAACATAAGAGAAGACGGTTGTTGTTCAGTTATTCAGCCATGTCCGACTCTTTGCAACCCAATGCACTGTGGCTTCTGTATATTTCATTGGCAAGCTTCTGTATATTTCACATACTAACCATTTAATTAATGCTGATTAGTATAAAGGTCTCATGGATGGAGGAGCCTGGTAGACTGCAGTCCATGGGGTCGCTAAGAGTCTGACACGACTGAGCGACTTCACTTTCACTTTTCACTTTCATGCATTGGAGAAGGAAATGGCAACCCACTCTAGTGTTCTTGCCTGGAGAATCCCAGGGACGGGAGAGCCTGGTGGGCTGCCGTCTGTGGGGTCGCACAGAGTCAGACACGACTGAAGTGACTTAGCAGCAGCAGCAGCATAAAGGTGCTTGTTATATATTTCTGATATTCTGAGAAGTTTTGGAAAATGGCTTGATGGAGGTGGATGTGAGACTAGAAAGAACAACATCAAATATTGGCTTGGGGAAATTTATGTAGTTTCATATATTTGAAGGCATCAATTTGAATTAAGATGGAATTTTTTCCTATTGTGTATGAAATCACAGGAGTAGTCTTTGTGTTACGTAGGAATATGTGTTTGGGCCAGTACACAAATATGAAAGATGCATACAAAGACAAAGAAAATCTATGAAAAAATAAAGAAGAAGTGGTAATGTTCAAGTAACTGCTGCTTACAATTTCTGTCAATAATTCTAAGCCAGAACATAACCTCCTAATAACTCAAGTTCTTAGCTAAACTACTACTCCTAGAATATATTAGCTGCATAAATTTATATTCTTTATTCCTGAGTATTATGCTCAAGGAAGCAGCCTTTATTTCCATTTAAAAAATATCTTATTCAAGAATTACAAACTTCTAGGTACCTATTATTTAGCAGAGATTTTTCTTTTCAAGAGAAACATTATCAAGAAAGAGTGATGGGAGACTAGGAGTGCATCTGATCAGCATGTTTGACGACAGGGAGAAGAGGATTGATGCCTAACAAAAATGAGAAATATACAAAACCAATATCAATAAATTCACTCTTTGTAGTTAGGAAGAGGATATCATTGATTTGTTGAGGCAATAGTTTATGACTTCATTTATATAATGTATCTATTTATTAGCTGTCATCACATTCACATAGGATAAGTTAATATCATTCACACTAAAATGTTTATAGAACTTGATCAACCCAATCAAATAAGTGGGGAGTTGCTTCACAAACAGGGTTATCAAGTATCCATTGCAAAATAATTACTAGAAAATAAATTTACTTCCCCTAAAAATCACTATTACTCAGGGCAATTCATTAACTATAAAACACAATCTCAAGGAAATTATAATCTTAAATTTTACATGACTTTTCATACAGTAAGCCTTAAGAAAAAGGGCTCAAGTTGTAATTAAGAGATAACAGTCTAACATTCCAAAATTCAATGCAGTCTTCTCCGGGAAGTCAGAATTGATTGCTTTTCATTTCAACTGTCTGACACACCAGCTCCTTTTAGTCTTTCCTTACATATTTTTCCTCATTACATGGCAAGTGGTACCACATTTCTGCTTTCTCTGTCCGTACAGAGAAAGTTATTCATGGTAATGGTAATGTTGTCAGTAAGTTAAGATTCTGCTAGAATAGTGTGTTACTATCACTAGAGGGTTCAATGGCTGGGAGGCATGAGACCAACAGATTCATTTATATAATATTTTAATCCCAGGAGATTTATCCTCTTTCTTGATAAATGATGATATGTGTGAAACTCACTAATAATACAGATAAGTTGGATTTTAGGTTACCGTATGAGAAACTCATGAACTGGCTGGTGCAGCTGATAAATGCTTTTTACCATAAACTTCTAAAGAATATTTTTAGCCCAATCCATCCATCCCAAGACTCACTGCAAACCTGATTTATTTATATCATGGACATTTCTACTTGAACTTTAAAGTCAACTCTTGACCTTGTCAAGAATATAACAGCTGCTCTATAAAATGTGAAATAAATCCACTGATGCTGCTGAAACTGAATTTTCTCTCCCATTGTGATACAGCAATACCAAAGGTCTTTATACAAAGTAAGGTAATGAGTGCCACTAAATTATTATTATTATCCATATTATCACTACCACTACTACACCATATTAGTTTACTACTTACCTTTTATTTGTATATAAACAATTATTTACAGTTTACCCAGCACTCCTATATCAGTTAGCTAATCTACTGATACCAGCCTTATGGGATCAAAGCTATTCCCACTACACAATGAAAGCTATACTGGCTCCAACAATTACTTACCTTGTTTGCAGTTACGGAGTTACCAAGTGACAGAGCCCATCCTGGAACCTACTTCTTCCAACTCTAATTTCAGCATTTTTTTGTTTTCCTCTCTTATGAGACTCTGAACTCTGAGGAAAATTCCAGTTGAGAATAAAAAACAAGCTAGAGAGAGAACAAGATGGCAGAGGAGTAGGTGGAGATGGAGTACATCCCTTTCCACAGATACGTCAGGAATACACCTTCAGACAGGAAAGTGCATGCAGAACACTAGCTGAGGGCAGACAGGAGTACCTGACCAGAGGAAAAGAACATACAGAACCAGGCAAAACTCAGTAGGATGAAGGAACTAGGGGGGAAAAACAGGAGTGTTAGTAGGACTGGACCTGCCCTCGGTGGGTGGGGGAACTGAAGCAGGGGTCCAATACTCATATCGGGGCAACTGTCTGAATCAGAGGAGAAACATTTAAGGTTGACAGTGAAACAGCCGATCTGTGGCAGCCTAAATGGAATGAGAATCAGGCAGGCCTTGCCACAGCCATACATACCCTGGACAAGGATGCGGTCCCCTGGAAGGCAGAGCGGCTGGGAACTGGAGTTTGGGGATTGTGGAGTGATCCCAGGGTGAGGGCTGCTGTTGACTGTGAAGAGACAGATTGAGGGGATGTAAGAGAGGAGATCGCGGTGGGAAATGCCAGTGGAGGAAAGCCAGGCAGCCATGGAAGCAAGGCGATACTGCTGAGTCAAGCATAAGGGGTGGAGCCATCACCATTGCCTCTGTCTCCCCACATGCCAGCATCAGCAGCTGAACAATAGACAGGCTGACCCATCAAACGCGTGATGCACCGAACTACAGAGTAGGACCCCACCCAGGGTGCCCCTTGAAGTGCCTGATCTACAGAGAAGGACCTTAGGCAAGCGAGCCCTCTAAGTGCCTGAATTGGCAGAGGTACAGAGAAAGACAGGCCAAAGAGGCCCTCTGATTGCCAGCTACAAGAGACTGGAGAAAAGACTGATAAGGCCATTACTCCTGCGGCGGAGGCAGTCTGTGTCCCTGCACACTTGGCACCGCCAGGGTCCCCACAAGTCAAGCAGCTGCTCTACCTTCACATTCAACTCTCACAGGGGCAGAGATGCCACAGGTATAAAAAAGTCTTGCGTCGATGTGCACAGGGTCACTTCGGTAGTATTTGACTCTTTGTGACCCTGTAGACTGTGGCCTGCCAGGCTTCTCTGTCAGGGAGGGGGCGTTCTCCAGGCAAGAATACTGGAGCGTACTAGCCAATACTTGTTGCCATACCCTTCTAGAGCACTATATTTCCTGCTGGCCTAGCTGCCAACCCCCCTGAGTACCTGGTGCTGCCAGAACCCCTGCGACACAAGCTGCTGTATCACTTCCACACCTGGCCCTCACGGGGCAAACCCAAGTCCTCCAGGGCAGCATCAGGGGCAAACCCCAGTGTACGACCCACATGCAGAGGTGGCAATAAAACCACAATTGAAACCCAGGGGCAGTGTGGCTAAGGAAGAAGACCCAAACTTTCCCACCAGCTGTACAAGCTTCAGATTAAATCCACAAGATTAACTACGCAGACTCTGTGTCTATGGAATATATAGAAGGTCATTGAGAGCTCCCACCCACAAAAAAACACACTAGTTGTGATAGCTGTGGACATTGGAGGCAAGAACACATAGGAGTAGGATCAGATTAGAATCTGAGCTGCCCCCACAGCAGGTTGAGAGATCAGCACAGTGTTGGAGGGCATCCTAAGGAGGTGAGGTGGACTGTGACTCCCAGCGAGGGAAAGGACTCTGACAGCAGTGACTCAAGAAAAACATTGATTATTCTAATGTTTTGACTGCTCTGTAGAATTCTTTTGGATTTTTTCTTTTTCCTTTTTTCCCCCTCTCTATTGTAGTTGTCAGTTTTATTGGCACTATGAAATACAATTAAGCTTTTGAGCTTTTTTTTTCCCCTCAATCACATTTTTTACTCTTATAAACCTCTGCCTCTTCATTGCATTTTTTACATTCTGTGTCATTTTGCTTTCTGCTTTTTCTCTTTTTTTATTTCAAATTTTAATTTTTTAAACATATTAGTATTTTTTATACATTTAGTCTTTTGTTTGCTTTTCCTACAGTTCTTTACCCCTTGCAGTTAATCTTTAATGTATATAAACCTTCTTTATCTACCTCTATTTAACTTCTCTATTTTTTCTTTCTATGCTTTCCTCTCAACATATTTGTGAGTTTTATTTTCATTGCTTTATTATTCCTCAATTGGCACCTTGCTTTAGCTTAGTTTTCCAGAATGTACTTCAGTTAGTTTTGTCTTTTGTTCTGGCAGATATAATTTTTGGTTTCCTTTGTTCACTGGGTCAATCTATCGTACTTTATTTTTGTTGAACCGTTTTGATTTTGCTTATGTATATATGTATACTCAGCATATTTTTATTGTTGCTTTAAACCTCTACCTCTAGGTTGGGCTTTTGCAGTTCTGTGGAGTTTTCCTTTTTTCTTTCTTCTTCATTTTTCTTTCTTCTTTTCTCTTTTTTATACTTTTAATTTTTAATTTTTTAAACATATTATATTTTTTCTACGTTTATTTCTTTTATGCCTTTCCTACTGTTCTTTTCCCATTGCACTTAATCTTTAACATATATAAATCTTTTTAATCTACCTCTGTTTAACTTTGCATATCTATTCTTTCTTTCTTTTCCTTCTTTCCTTTCCTCTCAACATATTTGTTAGCTTTCTTTTCATTGTTTTATTCCCCATTTGGCACCTTGCTTTAGTATTGATTTCCAGTTTGTGCTTTAGTTTTGTCCTTAACTGGTACGTATAATTTTTTATTTCCTTTGTTCACTGGATAAATAAACTGTGCTTTATTTTTTGGACTGTTTTCACATTGTTCATGGGTGTATATGTTTATGTGTATATTCCATTATTTTAATTATTATTTGCCTGATTTTTTAAGTGTCATTTGTCTGGGGTTCATCTTTGGTTTCTCATTTTTGGATATTTGTTTTAATCTCAGTTAATGCCATAACAAGCCACTTGTGGAATCTTTGTTCCTGACCAGAGATCAAGCCCTGAGCCTTCGAAGTGCCTTGGGAGCTCTGACTCCAAGACCCTAGACTACCAGAGAACTAACCTTAGGGAGTATCATACAGTGAGAACTCACCCAAAGGAAAATCACTTGAATACAAGATCCAGCATCATCCAACCACCAGCTGCACCCTGTGCAGGACACGTCATCTAAACAACAAACAAAACAAAAACGCAAACCCAGTCATCAGCAGACCGGAGTACCACCTCACACAGCCTTGCCCGTCAGAAGAAAACCAAACAAAAACGCAGCACAAATCTCACCCTATAGCAAGCTTACACAAACCGCTGGACAAACCTTAGAAGGATAGAAACCAGAAAAAGAAAGAATTCAGCCTTGAAGCCTGGGAAAAGGAGGCCTCAAACACAGTAAGTTAAAAAAATAATGAAAAGGCAGAGAAATACTACACAAATGAAGGAATAAACTAGAAACACAGAAGTCCAAATAAATGAAGAGGAAATAGGCAAACTACCTGAAAAAGAATTCAGAATGATAGAAAAGATAATAAAAAACCTTGAAAACAAAATGGAGAAAATACAAGAATCAATTCAGAAAGACCTAGAAGAAATAAAGAATAAACACACAGAGACAAACGACACAATTACTGAAATTAAAAATATTCTAGAAGGAATCAATACCAGAATATCTGAAGCAGAAGAAGGAATAAGTTCTTCTGATAAAGATAAAATCGTTTCAGTTGAGGTCAGTTGCTCAGTCGTGTCCGACTCTCTGCGACACCATGAAGCACAGCATGCCAGGCCTCCCTGTCCATTACCAACTCCCGGAGTCTACTCAAACTCATGTCCATTGAGTCGGTGATGCCATCCAACGATCTCATCCTCTGTCGTCCCCTACTCCTCCCGCCTTCAATCTTTCCCAGCATCAGGGTCTTTTCAAAAGAGTCAGCTCTTCGCATCAGGTGGCCAAAGTATTGGAGTTTCAGCTTCAACATCAGTCCTTCCAATGAACACCCAGGGCTGATCTCTTTTAGGATGGACTGGTTGGATCTCCATGCAGTCCAAGGGACTCTCAAGAGTCTTCTCCAACACCACAGTTCAAAAGCATCAATTCTTCTGCACTCAGTTTTCTTCATAGTCCAACTCTCACATCCATACATGACCACTGCAAAAACCAGAGGCTTGACTAGATGGACCTTTGTTGACAAAGTAATGTCTCTGCTTTTCAATATGCTGTCTAGGTTGGTCATACCTTTCCTTCCACGGAATAAGTGTCCTTTAATTTCACGGCTGCAATCACCACCTGTAGTGATTTTGGAACTCAAAAAAAAATAAAGTCAGCCACTGTTTCCACTGCTTCACCATCTATTTGCCATGAAGTGATGGGACCAGATTCCATGATCTTAGATTTCTGAATGTTGAGGTTTAAGCCAACTTTTCACTCTCCTCTTTCACTTTCATCAAGAGTCTCTTTAGTTCCTCTTCACAACCAGTAATACTAAAGAAGCTGAAGTTGAATGGTTCTATGAAGAACTACAAGACCTTTTAGAATGAACACCCAAAAGAGATGTCCTTTCCATTATAGGGGACTGATATCCAAAAGTAAGAAGACAAGAAACACCTGGAGTAACAGGCAAATTTGGCCTTGAAGTACAAAATGAAGCCAGGATAAGACTAATAGAGTTTTGCCAAGAGAACACACTGGTCATAGAAAATACCCTCTTCCAACAACACAAGAGAACACTCTACACATACACATCACCAGATGGTCAACATCGAAATCAGACTGATTATATTCTTTGCAGCCAAATATGGAGAAGCTCTATACAGTCAGCAAAACAAGACCGGGAGTTGACTGTGACTCAGTTCATGAACTCGTTATTGCCAAATTAAGACTTAAAGAAAGTGAGGGAAACCACTGGAAAATTCATGTATGACCTAAATCAAATCCCTTATGATTATACAGTGGAAGTGAGAAATAGTTTTAAGGGACTAGATCTGATAGACAGAGTGCCTGATGAACAATGGACGGAGGTTTGTGATATTATACAGGAGACAGGGATCAAGACCATCCTCAAGAAAAAGAAATGTAAAAAGGAAAAATGGCTGTCTGAGGAGGCCTTACAAGTAGCTGTGAAAACAAGAAAAGCAAAAAGCAAAGGAGAAAAGGAAAGATACACACATTTGAATGCAGAGTTTCAAAGAATAGTAAGGAAAGATAAGAAAGCCTTGCTCAGTGATCAGTGTAAAGAAATAGAGGAAAACAGTAGAATGGGAAAGACTACAGATCTCTTCAGACAATTGGATGTACCAAGGGATCATTTCATGCAAAGATAGGCTCAATAAAGGACAGAAATGGCATGGACCTAACAGAAGCAGAGGATATTAAGAAGAGGTGGCAAGAATACACAGAAGACCTGTACAAAAAAGATCTTCCTGACCCAGATAACCACGATGGTCTGATCACTCACCTAGAGCCAGACATCCTGGAATGTGAACTCAAGTGTTCCTTAGAAAGCATCACTACGAACAAAGCTAGTGGAGGTGATGGAATTCCAGTTGAGCTATTTCAAAT